AAGCAAAGTGTATGTATGAAAATATTATTAGGATATATACTGCTTTGTTATTTACCTGTATGTTTAAAAAGGCCATGAGGAAAACTGCAATGATTTACAACTCTTATGATGATATATTCATCTAGACAGCTAAATGGAAGAAAGCTGTACTGCTTAGATTCTCTCTAGATCCAACACGCTGGCTTAGAAAAAAAATTATAGCAGTATGAATGAAGAGAATGTACTTTGTTTAGCCTACTTACCTAAGTAAACCAGGCTTCTGAGACCACATTGACTACTCAACATTCCTTGAATAGAGCTGAAGTTGTCAACCAAATTTGACAGAGACAAATAAAAAAAATTAACAAATTTCAGTTTCTGCCAATGTCATGGAAACAGATGGTTAAAGGCTGTAAAGAAATGTTCTGTTTAAGCTCTCGCTGAATAAAAGGCTTTTAAATTCACTAAGACCCACATTTAATGATTTCTGATCTTACATAACCCAATAGCACACTGCTGAACACCTTGCTCATGGCTCATATATAATTAACATGTTATACACCAAAATAGCTGTAAGTGATATGGGATGCAATGCAGAAAAGGGAACCTGTACACTTTCTGTGAAGGTCAAAGTGCCTTGAAAACCGTGAGTTTCAAGCATGACTTTTTGTACTGGGCTTAGAATAAAAAAAACGTAGCAAAATGGATAAGCAACATTCAACTTCCCATGAAGTTTATCTCAGTGTGAATAAAGTAACTCCCACTTAGAACCAGTGCCTTATTGCTTGTAGACAAACCAGCATTTTAGAAATTCCAACTGTGAATTGAATTGGTGCTAGAGCAAACAGTGATACCAAAGCCTGTACAGTGACTGTCAAATGAAAATACAAGAAAATCCTCCAAATGCTGAAGATTTTCACAAGAAATACTTCAGTTCCTCATCTTTGCACTCATTAATAAATATTCACTACAGTCAGTTTGAATTAGTGTTAAGAGTTTCAAGGGTGAAACAGGGGCTAATGAGGCCAAAAGAAACACAAGAACAGAGATAACTGTGGAATTCTAAAAAAAAAAAATAGAGCAAGGAATACACAAGAAGGTGGTTTCATGTAAAATTAGTGGCAAATGAAGAAAATCTATACCTAAACCTGTAACACTGCTTCATGATCAGGTGTGACTGGGGCTTCTCAAGGCACACTGTTTCCATGTGTGTTACTGTAACAGGACACACATCCTTTGCTCACTACTGTTAATTACAATGAAAACCTCCTATAATTAACTGTAAAAGAACGTACCAATGGCACTGAGATAAACCAACCTTTCCCCACACACCCATAAATATATACACAGCAGTGATTTTTTCACATTTGTATTTCAGCAAAATAATTTTTTGAGTACAACAATCAAGATTATGATGCCTCTTGCATTCATGCCAGATCATTTACATAGAGATTCCATAAGCTATTCCGCCAGATGACGTCAAGAAGAGGTGCTCTAAATTCAACCTATTACAAAAGCAAACCATCTTGCTACGGTACTCAAATGACATGTTAAATTCATATGTTGCATTCTTAAAAACAATTTTTGTCCCTCTCTCATTCCCACTAGCAGCAAAGACCTAAGCCAAACCATTTTTCAGCACTGCCCCATGTAGCTCCCTTCCAACTTCTCTGCTTGAGAAGCACTAATCCTCTCTTTGTGGCATCGGTCACCCTCGGCAAGCGTGACGCACCAGCCCAGAAGGCTGCTCAGGACAAATTCTGCATATCTGATCAATCAACACTTTCAGTTGTTACCCACCAATTAGAACAGGAGGCTTTTTTCCCTGTCAGTTTTGCCCACCCATGGCCAGATGTCACCAGGTCCCACTAACGTCCCAGGTACCACAGCCAGACCTCTCTGCAGGGACCAGTAGGTTGCTGCTGGTAAACACTTTTTTCCTGCTTCTAAGGGGACAATCAGCATGAACTTCACAGACAGAAAGCCAAAGAGAGCTCTACCTACCATTAAGTCATCCCTCCCTGGCACCCTCTCTAAGTCTGTTCTGAACTATGAATGAGCCCTCACTCCTCCCCAAAACCCCTTCTTCTGATGTCAATAAAAGCAGGTAAGAGTGATCAACATATCTGTATAACATCGATGTATCTGGGAGCAAAGCTTGACCTGCCTTTCTGAAATAACTTTATAGAGTCAATAATTTTTTATTCCAGAAAAAAGTGCTGGATATGAAGATCACTGCAAAACAAAAAGGACTTTGCAACACAACTTACACTTTCTATTCATCATTTCATTTTTCCAATTTTTTTTCTCACTCTTCCTCACCCCCTTGGAAAAAAAAAATTGCAAGATATTACCTCCTAATCTTCCAAGCTTCAAAGTCAAGCTCTAAACTAGTCACAATCACAACTTCCTTCATCTGCAAGCCACTGCAACCCAAATGCCTAGAAAAACAATATACTATGGTCTATCAGACCCTCTTACTGCACTGCTTGTCTTCTCCCTAAAATGCTGCAGGTTGCCTGCTTACCCTCCAAAACAAGCAGGATGAGGATGAGCTACATGCCACACACTGGTTATGCCATTCTGCAAGCTCCCAAATGTGATTAGCACAGAAAATGCGAGAAGACCAAGAGGCATCTTTCCATATTTAGCCACGTATGTTTAATACTGAGTTAGATTTCACCTCAATGCATCACTCCATTAATCAAGGGTGGGTATAACAAGAGAGACACAGACTGACATCAGCTACTTTCAAGACCTCTCTTCCTCCTTCCCCCACCTCCAGCTTCTATGACACCATGTATTGTGCATTTCATGTGCATTCATGTGTGCAAACAGCAGAGACTTATCTATAAAGATCAGTTATACGGTAAAACTGCAAAAGGAAACTTTCACCCTTGTCCAGCTGGTTGAATAACTGCAGAGGCCAACAGCACCAAGCCTCTAAATACATCCTGTTCTTCTCTCTCCACCCCCACATCTCTAATCACTTAGGAGAAAGATAGGAAGATTAGCAGAGAGGAAAAAAAACATAACCAAAGCTGCAGATAACCCTTTAGGACCACAACGTCAGGCTATAAGAACATGGAGCAAAAGGTTAAGGAAGCTGTATTTTCAGGAATCTCAGGCACAATTGCATTTAAAGAGGAGGGAGGGGTACTGAGAAGGTGAGAGAGAGAGAAAAAAGGAAATGGTGATGAAGACAAAAATGAATTTGTCATCTACAGCTGGCTCTTTGATCACCTGGAGTTTTCAGGAAGGGATTAACAGCAGAAATAGGGCAGTTTTATTAACAATATATCACAATTTTTCTTGTAGGATATTTTCATTACCATCATCAGAACAGATTTTAGTAAGAACACAGCTGCAGAAGAGTCACTGAGCTATGCAAAGGATAAAGGTGGTAACCAAAACAGTGACAGAGAACTACCTTTAATGATACACTGAAGAGATTTGAAACAAAAAAAAAAAAAAGAAGAAATAGAAATAAAAGTCACTTCCACTAGAAGACAATGTCATCTTCATCCATGTCTCTGAACGGTTGCTATGGGGTTGTGAAGAGGAGGGGAAGGATTGGGGGGAGGTTATAATCAATCATCTCAGAAGAGCATTGCTTCTTACAGAGAAAGATCTGGATTTTGACTGTGTCCCTAAGAAAATTGCAGACTGCAGAGCTGCTGCCACGCAGGGCAGTGAGGAAGCAGGCAGAGCAGAGGCAGCAGCTGGGGATGGAAACGCCTATTAAATCCTTTAGACAACAGATGGGCAAAGCTCGGCTGGGTTATAAAAAAAAAAAATACACCACAATGCATCATGTTTTATTGTCCCACCATAATGAACAACACTTAACACCCACATGCCCAAAGAAGCCCCCCCTATGTCTGATCTTGCCCCTTCCCTAAATTATAATCTCAAGTCTCAATCCACTTTTGGGGGGGATCCCAACCCAATGAATTTGCCAGATGCCATTGCTTACTGCACCTGTTACTAAAAATAAAAAAAAAATGTAAGAAGGAAGGCATTTGGGCTTCTTTTTAAGGGTTTTTCTTCCAATTAATAGTCCCCTGCCCTTGAAGTGAATATGCTACCCAAGCAAGCAACAGTAAGTCCAGATCTTGAACGCATTTAGGGGATCTAATTATGTCATGTAGGGCAGAAGCACCTGCTCTCTGCTAATTCCCCTCCACTCGCTCTCCTCTTTTTAATATTTCTTACCATTGTTCCATTCAGGAAAATCTGCTGGGGGCAAGTTTCATAAACAAGGTTTAAGAAAAATAATTAAATAACCTCCCTTCCCCCCCTCCCAACCCCTCCTACAAAAACACAGCATAACCAGAATGAATTCTGCTACCGATCCTGTATTTTTCTTGTATTTCAGACCCTACCCACAAAAACCACCAGCCCATCCATCCATATTTGCTAAATACCCACAGCAGTCAGTGCCAGAGACATACTGTACATATTTCCACCACCCCCCCCCCCCCCCCGCAACTGCACCTTAAGGACTACACCCTTTTCAATCATGATGTCATGAAATACTGCTGGTGACTCCCCCACTACCACCACCACCACCTCGGTACTACAGCCTGTGAACCTTTAATTTCAATATAATTTGATTAAAAAGAAAAATGCTTCTAAGTAGGGCAGTGAAGGAACGGATGTGAAAATTCACCACCAGCAGATCATCTATTTTTTTTCCCCTGCATGCACTCTGGCTGTCATCAGAACAACACCCATTAGCAGGAGTAATGAACATAAAGCATCCTGGGCTTTTTTTTTTTCTTTTTCTTTTCTTTAAAAAAAAAAAAAAAAAGAGGAAAGAAAAAAAAAATAAAAAAGGACGAAATGAAAGAATTAAAATGGAAACTAAAAATAAATAAAGGCCAAAATCCCCTGTGAATATTATCTTCACTGAAACAGCAAATGGGAAAACCTGAACCCTCAAACACCCCATCCCCAACACCTCACTGGATGCTACAGCACCTTCCCTCTAGCACCGGTGCTGCTGCAAAAGAACCAACCTGTCTGTCCTTTTCCTAGGGTTTTCTCCAAACGATAGGGTCCAACATATTGTGCATGTTGAGCTCCGCTGCCTTCTTTCCCTGTTGATGTCATTTCTACCTGGATCTGTAATTCTGCAATGTGTATGTGCTGATGAGCTGGAATTTCTCTCTCTGCAGCTCTTGAAATTCCCACTTTGCAGCTGTGCAAGCAAAGCACTCTTTTTCTTTGCTTTAGTCCCCTTGGTTGCAGATTTTCGTCTTCCTCCTCTTTCTTTCCTCTCTCTCTCTCACGTGCTTGTTTTCTCGCTGGGTCTGCTTGGGACGCTGAAAGACGAAGGAGTTATTTTAGTGTTGAAAGAGGGGGATCTACGATCCAAGCCCAAGGAGCATGATGCTGGTGATCCGAGCCCCGCACGCCTTGTTCTCTCTAGGAGCTGTTCAAGGGAGAGCCAGAGCTGGAGCAGCGGAAGAGCCGGGGCTCGCAGCTGTGAATGACATTAAAAGCAGCCAATCCCCTCGTCTCCCACCTTCCTCTCCCCTCCTCCTTCCACTACCTTTTCTTTTCCATCAGCAGCAGTTGCTGCCTCTGCCTGCTACGGAGCATCATGACCAATGGCAGCAGCAAGCACCTAAGTTCATCAGCCTATTGATAAGGCCCAATTAAATATAATACAATGTGTGTATTAATTTAAGATCCAAACATACACTTCTTTTTTTTTTCCTTTTTCTTTTCCTTTTTTTTTTTTTTTTAAACCTCTGAATTCTACTCCACTATGCAGCTGCAGCTCCAGATTATTAAAGAAAAGGCAAGATTGTGGTAGGAAATAGGAAAGGGGGGGGAAAGCTATTTCTAAAAATGAGCTGGGGAAATAATTTGATTCTGGTGGACCTGTCTCTCCTGCGGGTTTTACCCTTTAAAGAAAAACTGGGGGAAAGGGGGGGTTGTGGGGGAGAAGAGAAAAATAACAGGGACAGTCCTGTAACCACTGAACTCAGTGACAGATCTGCTTTTGAATTTGATGGGAACAAAAAAACTTCGGGTCCTTAGATGAACAGATCAAAAACCAAATGGCCACTCTCCTAATTAAAATTGCAACTGAAAATGCAGGGATTAGATGGTAATAGGAACAGATTGCCTGATCCACAGGCACCGCACTAGCAGTGTAAGAAAACTTGCACTGTTTTTGTCCAAGTGTGGCTGTGTTTAGCCTTCAGAGACTGGGGAGCTGCACAAAATGAGGGATTCTGCTGAGATACTTCAAGTTCAGCAGAAGACTAAGTACTTTCTGGATTCAGGACCATACAACATTTTCAGCCAGTCTCCAGGGATATCAAGCTGAAGCTGTTCCCACACACAGGTTCCATTTTTACCTTCTCTTCCCTGCTTCAGACAGAAAAATGGTCAACATATTGCTATTCAAATTCCAACTGAGACACAGACAGAGCAAGAATTCTCAAATCAGGGAAAGTAGCCTTGACAAGCCTGTAAAGAGAGAGTAAAGAGAGGGCAAAACTTTTATAAGCCTTATCATTATCTATTGCTTATTGAGAGAAGACTATTTCAGGTTTCTTTATTTGGGTTTTTTTGAAGAGGGAAATTTACCTTTTTTTAATATCTATATCTAGAAACAACAGATGCTCTTGTAAATTGGAATAAAACTAGAAATTGCCTGTCTGCCTGTACCACAGACAACATGACTATCCAACAGGTTGCAGAGGAGTTAGTAGGATGAGAAGATGGGAGGAAATCAGGAATTCAGTAGACTGAAACTTTAAAGAATTCCAAGATTTCTTCAGGAAACAAAACCCTAACACTTGCTTCAGAAAAAAACAACAATCCTGCTTTGCCCTTTAGGGTTCACCTTTACTCACTTCCAGACTGTGTCAGTGCAGCAGCCTGTAGACAAAACCCCATCCCCACCCCTCAGCTTCCCCCTCCTCACTGCACACTGTGTGAGCACCCACCAAGACTCCCTCCCAGCCAAGCGCTGCTTCTGTGTCTTTCCAATGGCAACCTCTGCCCCCTCCAACCCTACAGGTTTGGGGTTTTTTTTTCTCCCTTACTACTCAACTCAACTCAACTCAACTCCAAATTGCCATTTCTCCAAGTTCCCCAGACCTTTCCTTGCTCATTGTTCTCCCACCACACCTCTGCTCCCCTTTCATCCTCGCCTCCTCACGCCTTCTCCCCTCAGAGCGCCTGTGCATCACCTCACACACCTGAGCCCACGGCCTCTCACCAGGGAGGGAAGAAAGCTGGGGAAAACACCACTAACATCCAGGGTGGCACGTCCCCATGCTGTGTCCATTCCCCTGTGCCCTGGCAGAGCCAGGGGAGCAGAGGAAGGGAGCAGAGAGGAGGCACTGCTGGCAGCCACAGCAGCATGGTGGCTTTTCCTGCCCCAAGCCGTGAGTGGGGAGTCAGGGCCGGAGGGCAGGGACATGTGTGGAGCATCCCTGTGGAGAGGAGCAGGGTAAATGGGCTATGTGGCAAATGGGATGCCAACAGGCCTTCGAGACCTGTCCCACGGCTTAGGGGTGAGGCACCACCTGCCCTTGGTACTAAGCAAACCTGCCCCAGGTGTGGCTCAGACCCTGCACCACTGACAGACATGAGGGCTCAAACACGCAGCCATGAGGCCCAGAGGCATCAGGATGGATCCAGCAGGGCAGTCTGGTCCATCTTGCAATATAGTTGAAAATACATCTTTGAAACTTGAGGCACACACCTCATCCCTCAGAAAATCTCCTTTCCCTATGGCTTATGAGCCATGATGGGACCGTTCCAGGTGAGGCACCATGGTGGGAGAAGCACTCTCCCTGATGGGCTCTTGGCTACAGAAATCAAATGTTGGAGGCAATGGAAATGTGTCATGGTTTCTGGCGTTTCACTCCTCTCTAAATGTCTGCCCCCCAACACTGTCAAAAAGTCCCCACAGATAGTAAATGACAATGCTGAGTTACAGCAATGTGTGCATAGCTTTCAGAAAAAGGAAAATATTGTTTATTTGTATAAATTAGAAAAGTTTCCACACCATATTAATAATGCAAGGGGTGAATATCAGTATAGATCAAAATTTTTTTAAATTCCAAGATTTGTATTTTAAAAGGTATTTAATACGAGATGATGATGTCTGTAGGTAGATGAACCATATGTGTCTCATGTTATTAATAGAAAGATAAGAAATCAGACAATATTGTCCATCCAAGTCCAAACTTGTGTATTTCACATTTGTTTCTATTGGGCGTTGAGGAAAGTGGGTTAAAAGATATGGATGTTACAAATACCTTCTGCCACAAGATATGTGTCAGTGTCATGGCTGGAACAAGATCAGAAACTTAGTGAAATTCATATGATCCTGACTGGAACATAAAACAACACAAACAAACACACACATACATGCACAACGCCCCCAACTCCCCCCCTCCCCCATCCCCTTCCCTCCCTCCTCCCAGAAAAATCCCTTCCACATCTTTTGGTCTCATTTAGTTGTGTTATTTTGATTCCATTGGAATATCCTTCTGTACAGTCCATTGCAACAATTTCAACCTTTTGTCCTGAACTCTTTTTGGAAAAATGCTTGGACATTTCTTGATTACTGAATAATCAAATGTTTTGGTGGTTGGTTTTTTTTGGGACTTTTTTTTTTTTGGGGTGGGGGGGGAGGTTGTGTTGTGTTTTGTGGGCTTTTTGTTTGTTTGGTGGAGGGTTTTTTTGTTTATTTTTGGTTTTTTATTTATTTGTTCATATGGAGCCAAATCTCATTTATCTGTACCCCTTTGATCTGAAACTCAGTCCTTTGAATCTAGGTTATGTCCCCCTGGTGTGAATTACTTATACAATAACTCCCTCAATTATTTGAAGCCCTGTTTATCCAAATGTTTTGATGTTCCAAAAGTATTTTGAATAAACAGGACTCTGCTGTCATTGGGTATATCAGATATCTTTGGGGATGCATATGGGATGATTTCCCCTGACCTTATTCTGTATAATCTTGTGTTAAAATGAACAAATAGTGTAAACATAAATGTATAGTTGGCATATTGGCATAATCTTTGGTTCTTGTACTCTTTTCTCCATTATTTTTCTTTTGTTATTCTCATTTAAGGACTAAATTTCTCTCAAGAAGGACTCAACACTGATCCCAGCAAAAATGTTGCTTGAGTATAGAGTGAACAAAAAAGAAATTATTTAGAATTTTATTAAGTTTTATCGAAGTTCTGAAAAAATGCAGAGCAAAAGATTTTCTTTCTTTTCTTTTATTTTTTTCCCCACTCCCACTGACACCAGCTTGTGTCTAATGAAACTTTTCATGATCATTTGTTTTCTTAGATGCTTAGACGCCTTTTCTCCTATTCCCATGAAAATCTTAAGGGTCAAGATGGATCATGAGATGATGAAAAAAACTAGAGGAAAAAAACAAGTCCATAAGGATTTTTTGTTTTAATGTTTTTCACTTGTTCGGTTGAATATATTTGTGAAGCTAGTACTGAAAAAAAAAAAAAAGAAGTGTAAGGCTTCCAGGAAAAGTCAGCAATAAAGCTGTGTAATTAGCATGGAATACTAAATCAATAGGCTTCTTGTGGTAAGAAGAATTCAGATAAGCCAGGACTTTGTCTCCAATTAGAATAACCTAGTAGCTAATGGCTGTGATAAGAACATACTTAAGTTAAAGAGGACAAAAATATTCAGCTTTTGCAATGTCAGGATCCATTATCACATCCTGAATTGTGTGTTCCATCCACATAAGTATGGACACATGATACCCCTTTGACAAGTGGTGTAGGAATTTAGATATTTTGACAATTAATCTCATTGTACAGACATTTCATAAGAAACAGACCCAGGTGTTTGAGGGACATTTAGTCATCAATATTGTTGACAAATTGATAATACTTTTATTGAGGATAATTATATCAATCTTCAACAACTCCAAACAGATGTTAATAGTCTAAAATTTAATTTTTTTCCCACTTTGCATTAGGTATTACTGTCTTTGTAAGAAGCCAAGAAAGACTCCAAGAAAAGAAAGGATTGGATTTCAGTAAGTGGGTGGTGTTTTGAATTCTTAGAACACATTCAGAATTCAGACACTTTCCTTATTGTAGTAGGTGTTGAGGAACTTAATTAGTTAACATCAGTTGCTGGAAGGCAGTGCTTCCACACAGACTCCCATTGTGGCAGGTCCTAAAAACTGGTCTATATTGCTCAGCAAAGCTATACCATGACAGTAGTTAAGCAGACTCTTTGGAGATTTTGCTGTTGTTGTCATTATTACTATTGTTAATAATAATTTAGCTATTATTATTAGGATTCTTGGAATTCTACATATTCTAGTACATAATTTTTAACACCCCCCCCCCACAAAAAAAATAACTGTTAGCTTATTATCTACATATCATCTTTGTTTCAAGCTGAATTAAGGTAAAGGCTTGTAAAATGTTTAATAACAAAATAGATAACT